TCTCACAAATTCAAATTTCCAAAGCCCAAGTAGCCTTAGTCACATTACCGATCTGATTTTTGTTTTAGCTTGCTTAATTATTTCTGCAATTTTGGCAGGTACCATTACCCAGTTGTTTGAGGTTGGTGAGAGTGAATGCTCTGTTATCATGCTATGGATTTATGCTGTGGCATCACTCTCTCTCACACTCTGGGCAACCTACTTTATGTGGCTGGTGTCTTGATTTTTTATTTTTTTCATATATACACACATAACACCTATAAATACATATGCTCAATATATATACATATAGCCTTTCTCCCATGACTGAAAACACAGTACATTGAACTATTACACTGTGCATGTATTAGAATATGTATATAGCTGAAGTGTGTGTATGCGTGTGCCTGTGTTGGAGTATGTGTACGTGTGTGCAGCTGTACTGTGGAGTATGAGTTGAGTTTATGAAATTTGGGAGGAAAATATACTCATATGCTCAAAAACTTAGCTGATTTATTACATATATATATAGATACCGAAATGTTTCCATCCAGTTTTGTTGCGTTGAAAAGTTGAGGAATGTATTCTTCTTTTGCTTCTATTTGTTCTGCGTGTTTCGCTCATAGGCATCTCAAATAGTAGTGTTGGTGCATTTTAATACAATGAATTAAAATACTGGCAGTCAATGGTACCAAAGGCAAACGTTAAGCTTAGTAACTAAGGGTGGTAGTTTTGGACTCCACATGTTGACACCGTTCAAAATTGATAAGAAATTAGTAAGTCAGAATTGATTAATTCTAAGTATGAAACTGAAAATTACATGATTTATTAACACGAACAATAAATGAGTCATGTTAGTACCTAACATGAATAATCTGAAATTTACATGATTAACATATTTAATTCGTATATATAAACAGAATGTCAATTTTTGTAATTTTTCTCACATATTGACATGAATGCTACTATTACTCTTTCTACACCATGATTTATTTAATTTTTTATCAATGATACTTTGAAAGATTAAGCAAAGTGGGATTTTTCTCAATTCATCTTTGTGTGCTTCACTTATTTTAATGTCATCTATTACTCTAATAATAACAAGTAAGTTTGATTTATATTTAGGCTCATGTTACGATTCCATCATTTAAATTTTTGTGTTTTTTCTCGAGTGTTTTACCAGCCTTAATAGATGATGATTGGCCCACAGTTTGATCCAACAATTCATCCAACACTTTTTGTGCTTTGCTATTCTTTTTTTCCCATGACAGCTCTGAGTTGTGAAGACGTACAAAATGGACCTCTTCAAATTATAACAAAATGTTCAGTGTAACTATAATAATATAACAAAATAAGTGTACCATATAGAGTATAACATTAAAACAGTAAAAATATACACAAAGTGTAATCACACACAATTATTCAATAATGAATAAACACGTGCATCCTTGAATATTGTAATATTACATCATAACAAAAGATTCAATGTAATTATAACAATATAAGAATATAAAGTATGTACCAAAACAAGTATAACAATAAAAGTGTAAGAATAACTATGTAACAACACACTACACCAACACTGTAATATTACATTATGATTAATATATATCTACATATAACTTCATTTAAAACATTATATCTTTGTTTTGAATTTGGTACCACATACATAAGACTACTGAACACAAGTAAAAACAAAACAAGTTAGTTTACTTTACACTTCCAAACATAATTTCACACCTATATTCAAACAAGTGAAAACAAAAAATTATTAAGTGTACAAAATCCAAAAAATTATCATTTTCTCAAAGAGGAAAACATCTAGGGTATAAAAATACATAATTTTAGGACTTTTGCCAAAAATTACCAAACGTATATTGCATTTGTCTTCAATCTTCAAATTTATCTATTATGTTACGCAACGGCAACAAGATATTTCCAAAACATGAATTTGACAACAACTTCCAGTCAAAAATAACACCAAAATCAAAGATACATATAATGTATTTTGATTTTGGATAATCCATGTTGTTAATACCAAAAATAAAAAATAAAAGGGTTAGCTGCACTTGAGGTCCTCAAAATATGGAGTTTGTCTTATTTTAATCCTCAATGTTTTAATTACATNTAGGTTAGGCTTTGACCATAAGTGGATTTCTTTAATTATGTTGTGTGTCAAATCAGTTTTATATTCACTTATTTTAAACAATGGCGAGTCAGGTTTTTTCTACCCACAGAGACAAGGAGACCCGTTATCCCCTTACCTCTTTCTTATCTATACAAAAGGAACGTCAGCTTTGTTATGTGTTGTAGAGAATGATGGGAAAATCATATAGGAGTATCGGTTGGAAAAAGCTACCCAAAAATTTATCACCTATTCTTTGTCGATGATAGCCTTCTATTTCTGAATGCCAAGTCCTCAGAAGCAACAGTAGTACAACAGATCCTCTGTACCTACAAATTAGTTTCGGGACAAAAATTAACTTTGACAAGTCGGCTATGGTGTGTAGCAAAATACTCCTAAGGAGAAAGCAACATAGATCCAAAGAATTCTTGGGGTGGAATTTGTAAACCAGTATGATAAATATTTGGGATTACCCTCAGTTGTGGGTAAATAAAAAAAGGAAGTCTTCAGCGACATTAGAATGTGTGGAGAAAGCTTCAAGGTGGAAAGAGCAATTTTTAATCGAAAGTAGGCAGAGGTCTTAATTAAGATAGTACCCTAGTCAATTCCGTTGTATGCAATGGGGTGCTTCAAATTTCTAAAATATTTACGTGATGATTTGGAATTATTAATGTAAATTTCTGGTGGAGGGGAGCGAAAAGTTCTTTTGGGTTTGTCGGAGGAACATGTGCAAAACCAAGGCAAATGGATGTATGTGGTTTTTGGGACCTTTGGGCTTTTAACTTAACCTTACTGACTAAACAAGCGTGAAAAATATATCATAAACGGCATACACATTTGCACTAGATATTTTCTTTCGTCATCTTTCATGGAAATAAACCTAGGCCATAGGCCATCTTATACATAGAGAAGTATTCTTGAGGCTCGAAAGTTTATTGAGGCAGGTTCAAGTTGGAGAATAGGGGATGGAAGAAAAGTTAAAATTTGGAAAGACAGATGGATCCCTACCCTAAGCATCTTCAAAGTGGTAACACCATAGAATACCTTAGCAACTGAGGCCACAGTGAATGAATTATTTGATTCCCAAACCTGTTGTTGGAGGAACAATTTGGTGGATGCCATCTTCTACTCTCATGAAGCTGCGGTTATTAAAAAAAGAGTAAATTATATTTTACCTCCTGAATTATTACTCTTGTTTCACTTTGCACTTTTACCTATAAATTTTCTCTCATTACACCCTAAAATATCAATTTTATTTCATATTACTTCAATAGATAACGACAAACTTGAAAATCTTTCAAATGAAGGAGAGAAACCATAAATATCTTTTCGCCAAGTGCCTAGTAGTACCACTTTATTTTACCTCTTTTGAAACTAAATGGTTGCTATAAAGTTATTTATTGGCAGTACAGATCATTCACATGCACATTTACCGTCAAAAAATTAACATTCGTTATCAATTGGAGTAATATAAAATAAAATTGTTATTTTAGAGTATAATGTGAAAAAATTATAGTTGAGGATGCAAAGTAAAACAATAGTAATAGTTCAAAGAGGCAAAGTGTAATTTACCCTTAAAAAAATACCTCTGGAAGGTACTTCTCTTGAGGGCAGATTGATATTGCAGTACAACATCAATGGTCATTTTTGGGTGAGAAGTGCCTACCATGTAACACTAGCTACCACACATCAGGCTTCTAGTAGTACCAGTTCTGCTAACTGGAATTTTTTTTGGAAACGACGAGTCCCAAACAAAATAAATTAATTTAGCGCTTTTATTTGGATGCCCTGCCAACTAAAGGAAATTTTAGGCAAAGGAAAATTAAGCCGGATAAGCTGTATACTGCTTGTTGAACGGAGACCGAAACCAGTACCCACATGTTACAAGAGCGCTATTGAGCAAAAGTACTTTAGCAACTTAGTTCTCTTCATAGTATAGTTCATGTACCAATTTTAGAACCGGCTCAATGGGTAAGAGAAGTGTATCAGGTANTACTGCTTGTTGAACGGAGACCGAAACCAGTACCCACATGTTACAAGAGCGCTATTGGGCAAAAGTACTTTAGCAACTTAGTTCTCTTCATAGTATAATTCATGTACCAATTTTAGAACCGGCTCAATGGGTAAGAGAAGTGTATCAGGTATTGAATAAAGAAGAGTTCGAATTATTCTTGGCTCAGTGTTAGTTGATATGGAGGAATCGCAATGATATGGTTCATATGGGAACGTCCAAAAGCCTAGCTGAAATTGTCCGATCAGCTAAGGATTATACCTTCTAGTTCCAGACCAGCTGACGGTGGAGGGAAGGACAACTGATTCACACACTTCCATAGCCAGCATGTTGGATTCCCCCAAGAGTTGGGTATTGCAAGGTCAATTTTGGTGGAGAAATGTTAAAGGAGGGCCATTCTTTTGGTGTAGGTACTGTTATCAGAGACAAAAATGGCATTTTTGTAGCCGCTTTCCGAAGAAAGTGGACACAGGTGGGTTATCGCAAGACTTGGGAGGTAATTGCTCTAAAGTTATTGACTCTGTGAAGCTACTTAAGTTATTGAAAGGAGCAGAAATGGAGTTGCCGCGCTGGAATGTTCCTTTGGTAAGCATCAAGAACAAACTCAATCGCATTAGGCACTATGAGGTGGCTTTGGTGCGGAGAAGTGGCATCCGTGTTACACTTCATCTTGCTAAACATGCCAGATTTATCGAAAGTTTAATTATATGAAAAGAGCAAACACATGAGTTTGTAATATCGTTTCTTATCTCTGATATTCCCAATGAATAATTGTTCTCTTTCAAAAAAAAAAAAAAAGAACACTTGACAAGAAAACCTCTATAAATCCACCCATCGTCCCTTCCCCTCTTCATCCATTCATTATTTTTCCTCGGATGAAGGCCTGATAAAAATGGCTGTCTCCTCATTTTCTAACTCGTTCTTTGTAGCATTTGCCATGTTCAGCTTTCTCAAACGTTGGTTATTCACCTGATGATTTCACATGCATTGATAAACTCATTAATCTCTTTGAAGAGTGGAGGTCAAAAATATGGCAAGAGTTACGAGAGTCTTGAAGAGAAGTTGCATGGGTGGGTTTGAGATCTTCAAGGATAGTAGTAACTACTTACTTGGGTTGAATGAGTATGAGGATTTGAGCCATGAGGAATTCAAAATTATGTATTTAGGACTAAAGGTTGAGTTTCCTAAGAGGAGGGGGTCCCCTGAAGAATTCACTTACAGGGAAGTCGTGGATTTGCCCAAATCTGTAGACTGGAGAAGAAAGAAAGTTGCTGTCACTCCTGTTAAAAACCAAGGCTCCTGTGGTAGATGTTGGGCATTCTCAACAGTAGCAGCAGTTGAAGGCGGCAACCCTTATTCGATAGGCGTTGTGGAACTGAGCTGGATCACCGAGTGGCTGCTGTTGGATATGGATCAAAGGGGGGTTCGGACTACGTCATTGTGAAAAACTATTGGGGAGCTGCTCCTCCAGGCTCCCACGAGAAGAAAAAAGGACCCATCCTTTGTTGCATCTGAAACTAGATGATATAGAGAGTTTTATCAATCAATGAACAACGAATTGATGAAGTTTTAGGAATTGCTTCATTTTTTTCTTATCAGCGAGTTCTGACCCTATTTGCTCGATCTCAGAAACTAATTCGTGTGTAGGCAACGTTGTTTGTCTTTCCATTAACTCTATCTATTCATTGAATTTACTTAAAACTTTTTTTTATATAAGCTCTATTGGCATGGCTTCTTGATTTTGACGTTGTTAGGATGAAGAAGATCTCTTTTGTTGCCCTAATTGTAGTGGATCAAAAGAGTATTGTTATGGGGGTGGTTGACTATAACNTTTTGACGTTGTTAGGATGAAGAAGATCTCTTTTGTTGCCCTAATTGTAGTGGATCAAAAGAGTATTGTTATGGGGATGGTTGACTATAAACTTGAGATTGCTGGTAGATTTGGAAATGGTTATGTCTCAAAGTCAATACTGGAATCTTAATCGTATACTTCAATCATTTCTAGTAAACAGGCTTCCCTTAAGCATAAATCTTCAGATTGTAAGGCATTTCAACTACATAAGAAATNCCTATTTGCTCGATCTCAGAAACTAATTCGTGTGTAGGCAACGTTGTTTGTCTTTCCATTTAACTCTATCTATTCATTGAATTTACTTAAAACTTTTTTTTATATAAGCTCTATTGGCATGGCTTCTGATTTTGACGTTGTTAGGATGAAGAAGATCTCTTTTGTTGCCCTAATTGTAGTGGATCAAAAGAGTATTGTTATGGGGATGGTTGACTATAAACTTGAGATTGCTGGTAGATTTGGAAATGGTTATGTCTCAAAGTCAATACTGGAATCTTAATCGTATACTTCAATCATTTCTAGTAAACAGGCTTCCCTTAAGCGTAAATCTTCAGATTGTAAGGCATTTCAACTAGATAAGAAAAAACTTGAATTAGATTCTGAAAATGATCAACTCAAATAAATGCTCATCATAAGCTTTTTTTTTTTCTCCTCTTCCTATTGATCAGAAGCATCCAGAAACGTCACGCCAGTAGAAAAAGTGAAGCTACAAAGCAGGTTGTTGCTACTAGCTTGGACATTGTTCCATNTAACTTGAATTAGATTCTGAAAATGATCAACTCAAATAAATGCTCATCATAAGCTTTTTTTTTTTTCTCCTCTTCCTATTGATCAGAAGCATCCAGAAGCATCACGCCAGTAGAAAAAGTGAAGCTACAAAGCAGGTTGTTGCTACTAGCTTGGACATTGTTCCATCTCCCCCAACATCCCATTTGGTTGCCTTAAAGTTTCTAGGGAACAAAGAGGGCCTGGATACTCTTTTGTCATCGATGTGGAGATAGAACCAGAAGTGATGCTTTATGCCTTCCGTCAATTTTAATTATTATTTGTTGGTGTTGCTCTTACATGCATGGCTTACGTCATAAAACCATTCCTACTAAAAGGGGAGAGAAAGGGTACAAGGATGAAGAGAAACACAGGAAAGCCTGAAGGGCTTTGTGGAATCAAGAAATTGGCTCCTTATCCTACCAAAAGAAGTGATCTTTTCACTTTGATTGCCACATTGTCTGCTATTTGGATTGANGGAGAGAAAGGGTACAAGGATGAAGAGAAACACAGGAAAGCCTGAAGGGCTTTGTGGAATCAAGAAATTGGCTTCTTATCCTACCAAAAGAAGTGATCTTTTCACTTTGATTGCCACATTGTCTGCTATTTGGATTGATATTTGTAACAAAGCCAAATCCTTTAACTTTGAGAAAGTAAGTCTTATCAAGAAGTATTTGATTGTATGTTTCTGCTTCAGCAGTTATGGGGAGGCCAACTTTAGAATAAAATTCAACTAATCATGAATTACTAGCACTAACAATTAATCAATTAATCCCTTTCAATGTAATTGTACTCTTGCTAGTGCAATTACTATGACTGGCCAAATCAGGCCATTTTGCATCTTTGCTCAAATGAAGTCTCGTATGGGTACCAAATCAGGGTTGTAGGCCACACACACATACAATAGAAAGAAGTTTAACGTATGTAACACTTTACCTAAAAAGCAGCAAATAAAAAGCAGGAAAACGGAGAAATGAATTATATAACATAAGGGATCATGAATACAGCTGCAATTTTATTAAAGAATTTTCAATTTAAGATCTGCATAGCCAATCCTTGCCTTGTGTCTTTCGAAAAGATCATGAAGTGCCTCAACAAATTGATCATGTACTTTAGCAACCTTCAAATGCAGCCAAGTGTAAAAGACAATTAGAAAAGAAGAGGAAATCAAACTTTTACTTTGTCCAAGAAGTTGATTGATATAAAGACCCTTTAACAAACAGATCTCATTCACAGTAGATGCAATCCAAAAGTAAATTTCAAACAAGCCCCAAGGATAGTAGAACAATTTTCTGGTAGTTAAAGCAGAATAACAATCCAAATCCATGGCTAGAGGACCAAAAAATAAAAAGAAAAGAGGGCATTTAATTTCAATTCTTTTTTATCCTATTCTTTCCAAGCTAAAACTTCTTTTTCAAAAGTGCTCAAAAAAAAAGTAAACAAACTAAACACAACCTATTATCTTTGGAAAAAGTGACATGGAGTAAGATGAATTAAGATGTATGACTAATGGTGTCCCAATATTTGGACTCCAGGACGTGTGGATCTGTATTTAGAGTATATGAGCCTATTAAACCACCATATAATGCCCAAAATGAAGTATTGTGACACATGTCAAGAGACAAGAAGAAATATGGCAGTCAAAGTAACTCAAAAGAGTACATGAGCAATTGATTTTATTGAAATAACTTCCAATGAACATTAGAGCTCTATGTACATACACAATCCATAAAGAATTTGTAGAAAGATAGATGGGCAAGGTACCTCTTCCNCTATGCACATTTCACAGTGGGGCCAAATCAAACAAAGTTCTCTTACAACTGCTTGAAGAGGCACCAGAAGATCTACTTTTAAGTTAGTCAGTTACCTTTCGTCATTCAATGGGTCTCAGCAAATATTAAGGCGCCAAAAAAGTGGAACAACATTTCCTCCATCTATAGATTTTTATGCTATTTCCTATTCACATGGGGGTCTCAAGCTTGATTGCCATTGTTTCACAAGAAAAACAAATAGAATTATCAACTATGGGTTATGGCAAGTAAAACCCCAATGGAAACCAGACATAGAGGTCTCATATTGGACGCCAAAGTAAGAGGGATTATAACATCCATCCACATGGCAATAGAAGATTAGAAAGTTCATGGATATGGACTCCTTCCACATACACAAAGTGTGCCTGATCAGCAAAACCACTAATGAAACAATCATGTATTTGCTAATGATCCCTAAAATATAGTCACTAATAGATTGAACATACCCAAAAATACCCCAGAAAACAATTGGCGTGAACTTTATAGCTCTAGCAAATTGCAAGTAAAATTTCCCACCAGGCTTCCACCACTCGTAGACATTAGACTGCAGCAAAATTGAGGCATATAAACTAAAGAAACGGACAAAACAATTTTATAGGAAATAGCATATGACAAGATAAACATGAATCTGCATGATTAATCAAGAGGCAATCGCAACATTAGGTAAGATTGGCAGTTCTGTGAGCAAGGCCATGCACAACTGGAAACGGACTCGCATTAACTCAAAAAGAAAAAAAAAAACTAGTTTATTACGTGCAAACGGGGTGAGGGCTTAAAGGGTCNAAAAAACTAGTTTATTACGTGCAAACGGGGTGAGGGATTAAAGGGTTGACTATCGCAAACGCTTGAGAGTCGCCTACAAATGTATGTGTAGGAATCATATATCCCACTGCATAGGTTATAGGGAAATATTTCACTTTACCCCTATGTTCAGCTCTCCTACAAATCATCCCCTCACCTTCAAAAAGAGCCACATAACCCTCACTTCATAAACCACATGCAATTTTGACCCAACTTCATTGAATGTGTGTAATATGCCCTTCTCCTGACCAATCTGCATCAACCCCGCCCTCCCACCCCCCTCTTCTTTCCTTCTCTCTTCCTCCACATCTCCAGCATCACCCTGCAAACCCCTTTCCTAAAAGCTCTAGGGATTTAAGGTCCCAAAACAAAGGCAGCAGCACAAATTGAAGATGAAATTACCTTCGGTTTTTCAGCTTTAAAAATTGGTTGTAATCATAAAAGGAAGCACTTTCCAATTTTTTATTTTTTTAATGTTGGTAAGTACGGTTTATTTTGGTTTTTGACATAAGTTAGATTAAGTTTCAAAAAAAGAAAAACAAGCCTACTTAAGTGCGATAACCAAACGAATTGTGTGCCCTAAATGTTGTTCCTACCATTTTGCATTCAAGTGCCAAAGCTTTTACAAAGTAGATGTAAATCCGTATCGGTGCCAAAAAAAGCAAAAATGAAAAAGAAAAATAACACATTTGCACGACACACAGATGGCAGTAGGCTTATGTAAATGAGATTCAAAATGTACTTCATACAAGAGCGATTTTATCTCAAAGAACTGATGCTCTAGTCATCATGTGGCTGAACCAAACCCTATGGTGAATGCCAACTATCCTTTATAAAGCATTGCTAACTACTCTAAACCCTTGCTGATTCAAAAGCCTGAGAAAGATCTACCACAATTTTGGTAGTTTAATTAGCAGCCAATATATTTCAAGTGCAACTTAGGAACACACGAACACTATCCATGTAAAAGAAATTGGATGAGCAGATAAATGTAAGCCCTTGGGCACTAGCGTGCTTGCTTTGCTTTTGTATTGGAGGTCTGTCATGCAGCTCCTTGCAAGCGAGGAGTCTTAAACACAGAGTTGAAGCATATCCATTACAAGAGTCCTTCCAGAAGTTCCAATTTTATATATCGATTTGCTTGCTTCTGCTTCCCCATTTGTTATTTATAAATGGAATCCTTTTGGTTAGATCAGACAATAGCTTTTGGTTCATTTT